AAAAAAAAAAAAAAAAAAAAAAAAAAAAAAGAATGAGAAAATACGTGGTAGCAGTTTGGGGTTTACTCAGTTTGGGGCCGGCCTTCATCAGAGTTGGACTGTAGACCTGGAGTGGAAGGAAACATAGGTTTCGCACCTGGTCCAAGGTTTGATCCTGGTTCAGGATTTGATCCTGGTATGGAACTTAGGCCTGGTTCAGGATTTGATCCTGGTATGGAACTCAGGCCTGGTTCAGGGTTTGATTCTGGTCCACGATTGATATGCTTTCCCCCATCTTGCGGTAGGGACGGCTGACCTGGACCGTTCTGCTGAGGGGTACTCTTAGCCTACCCGTCTCCACCCAGATAGAACGTTCGCCCCGCGGTCGTTATCTTATCGCTGTATTTGGGGCAATTCTCAGTCTAGGTACAGCTAAGATGGACAGGCGTTGTGCTGGGGTGAAGACGGCTAGCCGGTGATCGCAATGAAAGGCTGCAAAAAAGTCGGAAAAAACGGTTTATGCCTCAAAAGTTTTTTTTGGGGGGGGAGGGGGCGGGGGGGGGTTGGGGCTACACTCGGGGTTTTCACCGAATGAATTTGGCCATATTTAAGGTGAGGTGCATTCACCATAGACGGTATTACCGTGAGCATACGCTCCAATACGGTGTATGGCCTTTTTTCACCTTTTCTTTCCCCCGAAAATGTCTGCTTCCAAAAAAATAAAAATAAAAAAAATGGCTGCTTCTTTCAAATTGCCCCCTCCAAATGATCTAGATTTCACTAAACTGGGGCGAGCGAGGTCCCACTAGCAAAGAGGATCGGATTAAGCTCCTGAATCTGGACGTGTTTCAAGCAGAGCTGCAGAAAAACAGTTGTAATCTGCACCTTTCCGCAAACACATCCACATTCGGGCGTTCAATCCGATCGTCTTTGCGAGTGGGACCCTCGCCCTAATGTTAGCCACCTTGCTGATCCTTTTTTTTTTTTTTTTTTCAGCCCCCCTTCACCGTGGAAATCCATGGTCTTGACCGCGGGACCGATGACAATGAATTGCCAGGAAAAAATAAATAAATAAAAATCGATTGCCTGGCATTGGCACTCTCACTCAGTCCACATGCTTCCGGTCTTGTGTCGCTCCGGGTTGTTTGTGAGGATTCCCGGCCTCAACAGTTGGCTTTAATGGAGTTCTCGCTTTTTCCCAAAAAAAAAAAAAAAAAAAAAAATCGGACCCCCCCACATCCCCTCCCTCCCCCTTTTCTAGACATTCATGATGATGGTGTGGGGCTTTTCTTTTTTGGGAATCTTTTTCGATCTTCACAAAACTTGTACGACCGGGAAAAAAAAAACGAAAAAAAAAAAAAAAAGGTACGACCGAGAAAAAGAATGTACTATATGTCCTTCGGCGGGACATCCGTTAAAATCGGAACGAGACCGAACACTGGTGGGGGCGTTTTTTGTTAAAAAAAAAAAAAAAAAAAAAAACAGATGGCCCCTATAAGATGGCACATATAAATCAATAAGTGGTCCAAAAAATATATATATATACATAGGGCCAAGTCCCACTAGCAGCGTTGAGCTACCTCAACGCCTGAATCTGGACGTGTTTGCGGAGACGTGCAGTTCAGGAAACTCAACACCATTTCTGCACATCTCCGCAAAAGCGTCCAGATTCAGGCGTTGAGGTAGCTCAACGCTGCTAGTGGGACTTGGCCCCCGTAGACCTCATATAAGATGGATATCCAGTCCCCAACCAAAAAAAAAAACAGACGGCCCGTCCGTGCAAGTGGGACCTTGGCCCGTCGGGAAAAAACGACCCGTTTCAAAACAAAGAAAAGAGCCACCTTACCCTATAGGGAGGAATTATTTCCATGCTACAGCGGGAAGCCGGAATAGTATATTAAATTTCCCAAAAAAGGGATGACATCATGACAGGTAATTTTTTTCATACTAGGTGAGCGAGCAGTCAATGCAGTGAATGCAGTCAATCCCCTCGTGTTCCCCCCCCCCCCCCCCGTTTTCTCCCACCCCTCCCCCCTCTTCTCCAAAAGAGGAGGGCAATCAAAGCTGCCTCTATCTTTGGGCCTACTATACGCAGTTGCACCACTAGCCATCCGCCAACATTTTGAATGAATCTGAACGCGGAATTTGTCCCGATGCATTCATGATGTTGGCGGATGGCGAGTAGTGCAACTACGGTATGGCCTTTATCGCTCTCTACATGTCCGTCGCTTCCATCTTCAAGTTGTTAATGTGACTCACCTGGACCGGTTTCCAGCATGTCCACGTGCAGCTCCCCACCGTAAGATTGGAGCCATAGGTTCATTTGCTGGACGTTTTTATTGGGGGCTCTGCTCGTATATAGTATCACCTTTTTTTTTTTCCTTTTTTTTCCTTTTTTTTCCTTTTTTTTCCTTTTTTTCCCCCTGTTTCGTCCCTTTTTCTTCCCTCTTTTTTCCCTTTTTTTTTGGCAAATAGCACCCTCTATATTGGGTTCCCCACAGCGAACTCCAAAAAGTGAAAAGGAAAGAACACTCTCCAAAAAAAAACAAGAAAGAAAAAAAAAAAAACACCAGCCTATCAACCCTCGGTGACGAGGTCGCACTAGTAAAGAGGATTGGATTAAGCTCGTGAATCTGGACGTGTTTTAAGCGGAGATGCAGAAAAGCAGTTCTATCTCTATATTCTGCACCTTTCCATTAAAACACGTCCACATTCAGGCGTTCAATTCAATCCTCTTTGCTACTGGGACCTCGACAGGATGACTTTGCGTTCGGGATATCATCATTGACTTGACCGTCCCCTGAATTTGCACGCGTTTGTGGAAGAGTGCAGAAAATCGAGATTGAACGACTTTTCTGCATCTCTGCTTAAAACACGCCCACATTCAGGATTTTAATCCAATTCCCTTTGCTCGTGGGACCTTGCCACTGGATTCGAACTTGGGCCTGTATTTCGATAGTTCTTAGGGTATACCAACTGAGCCCAACTTGGAAAAAAAAAAAAAAAAAAAAGGGACCCGCCAACGATTCTGCCGTCCCTTTTTTTTTTTTTTTCCTTTTTTCCCAAGTTGCCATTCGTATGATCATCATGAGCTTATCATGGGCTTCTAGTGAGCTTGTCCTTTTATTCAATGACGCCTACAAATAGACCACAGCCTCTGAAAAAACGGAGTAGTAAAAAAAAAAAAAAAAAAAAAAAAAAAAAAAAAAAGCAACTCGGAGCAGACCTACGACCGTGCCCATGGGGAATGAGCTGGGGGATAACAGCAATCGGAGTTTCCCCCGTATTAGTGAGTGAGTGCATCGCTCCACTGCAGAACACAACACTCTACATGCATTTATTTGGACGCTCTGTGGACTCCATACACTCGAAATGTTGGACTCGGCTGAAAGAACCTGTTCCAGAATGTGTACAGATGCATGTAGAACGTTGCGTAGTAGAGGGAGGCCCTTAGAGAGAAGAACATATGAATTCATTTAATTCATAGGGAGTCGAACTCATGAGCTGTTCATCAACAGTGACATCAACGTGCATGTGTATCATTCAGTCACATGCCAAACCGATCCTGAATCATTACAACCTCACCAAAAAAAA